AGAACAGGAGTAAGACATGGTGCTTGATTTATCAGCTGAATTCATCACCCACGTGTGACACCATGATTCAAGGGAATATAAGTCATCTTGGATGAGCAGTAGGCTCCCTTGAAGTTCGTCACGCCGAAGTTTATAGACGATTTTGATATCGTCAGCAAATCAAAATAGCCTACTATGTTTTACAGATTTGGTGATGTCATTGATGTAGAGCGGAGGGCGAAGGACCAAGTAGGCCCTCTTGAATCATCCCACTGGTGATGGAGCTTGGAGAAGAGCGATAGTCACCTAAGGTGACTAGCACTCTGGTATGACGGCCTATCTAGTAATGGGTCCCGGATCCTAAAGTTCGCCAACTTTTGTAACAACCGCTTGTGAGGTACTCGGTCGAATGCTTGATGTATGTCCAGAAACAATTACTAACGCATAGGCGGAATCGACCGATTCTGAAATGTGGTTAAGGCAATGCAGTTGGCAAGTGGTGCACGATGGCTTGCTAAGAAAACCGTTGTGAGAAGTACTGATCAGGTCAAAAGAATAGACAAAGTTTATCATCTCATTTCCGACCAGTTTCTCAAGGAACCGAGCGACTATCGGAGTGTGGTGGATTGGTTGGTACTTATCAATCGTTAGTTTGAGAACTACTTTACTTGATTTGTTCAGTTCCGTTATTCTGCAGCATATTCAGTGCCACTTTTGCGTGTTTATTTTCCCACAAATTCTACGTTGGTGGGCTGTCTAACACTTCCCATCTCAATTACCGGTTCCAGGAGACTGAATCGTTGCTGGGCGGACGGTCGTCGTGGCCACACTAAACTCAAACAGTTCCATCCGATGTGCAGCGAAGTACTGCTCAGTCACCGCCTTGTGTACGTCTGGCATGTATGATTCCCCACATAGATAGACAGGAATGCTGCTTCTGCTCTGCTTGCTGAAGGAGTCTAGGCAGGCCACACTGATGAAACGTAGCTCCCATCCACATGCTTCCCGGTCTAATTCCTTGGGGCTTACCCTGGATATGAGGTGTGTGGATAAAGCTGTGGGTGCTGTAGCGCATTCCACCCAAGATCAACGAACAGTGCTCAGTTGCTGATTGGAGCGCAGCCAGCCGTGCAAACGCCTGCCCCGTTGAACATGGAAGAACACAACTTGGCCAGTAATTAGAAAATCTAAAATACCAAGTGGATCGATGTTTGGATACTGTTGCGTCTGACTGAACGACCGATGGCAGATCGATTGTCGTTGTTAAGGCATACCATCGGAGAGGAAGCACGCCGCGTATTGGAAACGATGCAGTACGAAAAGAACGAATACTCACCTGCTTTGGAAATAGTCGTCCGAAAATTCGGTGATTTCTGTGGGTCAGACTAACGAGACGGATCAGCGGTATCACTTATTTATTCGAAACATGCGCCCGAACGAAAGTATCGAGAATTATGTTACAGAGCTGAAGATGCTGGCTCGTTCCTGGAACATTTGCAGTTGTATGGCTGAGAGTTTCATTCGAGATAGAGTCTGCTTGGGATCAATGCTGAAAACATCACTAAGCGGCTGTTGCGGAAACCACAGTAATCGCTCAGACAATGCCTTAATATTTGCCTTAGTAAATCGTCAGCTACACGGCACATCTAGCAAATGCGGTTGCCGTCTGATGCAGAGCTATGTGCCGTGACCAGTTTACCTGACAAAACTGCGAAGTCGGTTACCAAAAACAATAAACTTGAAAATTCTGCGCCGCGCGACACTAGTAGGATCGTGATCAATGACCGGCTTGGGGTCGAATTTGCGTCAAATGTAGCAGACGAAAACATTTCACTCAATGCTGCCAGGCACCAAAATTGAATGCCCTCATTCGTGACACAAAACCTTCCGACTCAGAACATTCAATCAGCAAAGTGTCACGGACGGGACCAAAGAAGTGCACCTACGCAAATTTAGTGGTTGGCGACGAAACGGTGCGCTTCCAGTTCGACACGGGTGCTATCATCAACATGAAACCAGCGAAGCGGTGTCCAGGAATTCATGTGTGACCAGATCAAGACTTTTTGCGCATGTGGAACGGCTCTAAGCTCTTACTGAAGGGCATGGCCACACTCGAAGTGATCAATCCCAAAGACGGATCCTCACATCAGTTGGATTTCGTGGTCGTAGAGGAAGATCTCCCACCGATTCTCGGCATTGATTCCATACAGTGATTAGGTTTTGTTCCTTTTAGCCATGATCGTTTTGTGCATACTTGTCGAGCGGAGACAGATGTTAGTGAGCAGTATCCGTACGTGTTCAGCCCAGGTTTGGGGAGGTTCCGTTCATTTGTCACTAGATCCATCAATACGACCGACTGCGCTGCCGGTTGGAAGGGTTTCATTTGCTTTACGTGATAAGTTCGACACCGAATTAAGTCACTTAACGCCGGTGGGCATAATTGCTAAGGTCGTCATGCTCACAAACTGGATTAGCCAAATCGCGATTGCTACAAAAAAAGAACGGTGATATGCGTCTGTGCATAAATGTTAGGCCACTGAGTGAAGCTCTCTGCAGGGAGCACTATGCGCTGCCAAAGTTAGAGGATGTCCTGCCGTGTTTGGCTAGGGCAAGTTACCCCACCAAGGTTGATCTATCATTGGCGTCCTGGCACGTGGTCCTAGCTAAAGAATCCAGTTTCTCGACGACGTTCGCTACACCCTTCGAGCGTTTTCGTTGGCTACGTTTACCGTTTGGTTTGAAGGTTTCGAGCGAAATTGTTCAGAAGCGGTTACTGCAAGCTGTTGACAGTGTAACATGTGTAGCAGACGATGTGTTGATTTACGACTTGACCGACCAGTAACATGATGTCAATCTGCACCACTTTTTGCAGCGTTGCGTGCAAAAGAACATAGAGCTCAAACGCGAGAAAGTTGAGCTTCGGAAACCGGAAGTGATTTTTCTTGGGCACGTTCTACTATCCGAGGGAATAAAGTTGGATACCGAGAAAATCAAGGCAGTGAAGATGCCACAATCCAAGGACGCCAGGGCTGTTAGTCGCTTAAATGGCAAGGTGAATTTTTTGAGTCGTTTCTTACCAGGGCTAGCTGAAATCATGACGCCCATCCGGTGAATGGCACACAAGGGAGGAAAGTGGAGTAGGGAGAAGAGCAGGAGGTCGCCTTTAGAACACTATCAAGCACCTCATCAGCTGTGCATCAATACTCGGCTACCATTATCGAGCTCTGTCTTTTGAGGTGCAATGTGACAGCAGTCAGAGCGCCATTCTAATGTAAAATGGTAAGCCCTTGGATTTTCGCAGTCGAGCACTCACAGTCGAGCAATAGCATTATGCGCAAATCGATGGAGCGATTCAAGGATTACAACTTTGGGAGGAAGACTACAGCGCATACTGACCAGAAACCGCTTGTATCAATAGCCAACAAACCATTGAATAGTGTCCCTTGACGTCTCCAAATAATGCGTATCCGGCTCCAAGGACAAAGTTTCGAAAGAATTAACGCTATTCTTCAAAGTTCGGGATAAACTCACGGTGTATGACGGTTTGCTATTCAGAGCAAATCGTGTTTTAATCCCACCATCGCTTCGCAGTGATGCGAGAACATGGGCATCGAGTCCATTTGGGCGTTAACTACAGTATTAGCAGAGCACGTGAACTGATAGTTTGGCCCGGGATGAGGAGTCAAACCCGAGATCTAGTGTCAAGCTGTTCAGCCGGCCGGTCCCACGACGCTCGCCAAGCCAGAGAACCGATGGTGCTGCATGAGATTCCAGGTCGACCATGGCAGAAAGTAGTAGATGACTTGTCCTGTGATAACGGGAAGGACTACTTAATCACAGTGGACTACTACATTGACTATTTCGAGATCGATCCACTCACCGCAATCATCAATAAACTTAGGTGTCAGTTCGCCAGACACGGAATAACAGAGGGATTGATCTCTGGCAATGGCCCGCAATTTACAAGTGTTGCGTTCCTGACTTTCGCGACAAATCAGCCCGTATCACAGCCAGTCTAACGGAAAAGCTGAGGCAGCGGTCAAGAAAGCCAAGAAGCTATTATCGAAGGCTAGAGCGACTCATGAAGATCCATCGCTGATGCTGTTGGAAGTTCGCAACACGCCATCACCGAACATCGGTATCAGTCCAGTTCAACCTCTGTACAGCAAAAGAACAAGAACCCTAATGCTTACGTCGGCGGAACATTTAGACCCAGCCTTGATGTCTCATGAGCAGATGCAAAAGAATTTAAGAAAACGGATGGCTGATCAAAAACGGCATTACGACCGCGGAACCTGGGCGCTACCTGAGCTATCAGCAAATGATGAGGTGTGGATTCAACCAATACCGGGTGTCAGCAGACGATGGAAGAAAGGTGTAGTGAGTGCGAAGATTGGGGGATGATCTTATGAAGTCAGTACTGGAGAGAAAGTAATCAGAAGGAGCCGAGTGCAGCTGAGGCGCCACGGGGAACGAGAAGGTGGATCTGTAGCAAAGCATTTGACAGCTAAAAACGAAGTCACAATGACTCGGGCAGCCAAGACTAGGTCGAGTGGAAGAGCTTACGGAATCTTCAGCGACACTAATGCGGCTGATCGCGAAAAAGGGAAGGATGCGATGGGATTGTGTAAGCACAAGAACGATACGAAGTTACATGGCGAAGCAGGCGGCTGGCTTGCCGCAAGCGAACAGAGCAGTTGACTGGATGCTTACGCATATTTCGCCTACGCGTTGACTTGTTATTATTATTATTTGGCTACGCTGGAGCGAGTTTCTTTAACTGATTAAAAGGAAGAATCTCATGAATGCAGAAGCGACCTTAGTTATGGAAATAACCCAGTTATTTACATCGAGGTTTCTACACGCTTGTTATGCTATCATTTTCCCTGAGCTTGCTTTGTCGAGTAAACCTTTTGTCCATGAAGGACCAAGTTTTGCGACAGTCCCTAATTTTAGACGAAACCGTCCTGTGGCTGTAATAATGAGGCCGCAGTGGCAGGAAAATCCGAAACCAGATGCTACCAAGCACGACTGTAGATTAGAAAGTTTATGGTGGCTTGGAAAGACAAAGCAAAAAATTTGTCGCCCTGCCGCACATGGATTCGCTCAAGCCCGTCGGATTGAAACAGGCAAACAATCTCGACAGGTACAAAATAGGACAAAGAAAAAAAGGGAAGAATAACAAGGTGGTTTCGGCAAACAGGCGAGTAGAATAGCACACATGATTTGGTTTAGTCAAAACCCCACCACGGCTTATGGGGAATGGTATTATTGCGCTTTGAGCCCATCACTAATTTGTGATAGCAGCAACAATGGTGAATTGAGGAGACAAGTCGGGTGGGATAACCAGAGGTGTGCCGTTATCTGTGTGCAGACTTGATGATGCAATGATAAAACAAAGTTGACGTTTGTACAGCAAAACACTGTAACGACTTGAGAGTTGCGAACAATGGTTAGGTGCGCCTGAAATGTCCAAAAGTGTTAATACCAGTGCTATGTAGACGGATGAAATCACAGGAAATCAAGCATGACACTTCTCCCCGAGATGTAAAGCAAACAATCGCTGGATGCCGCATGTTTGCAAAAAAGATGGAGAAAAATGCGCAAATAACATCTTGAAAGGGTTAAAAATAAGCCAAGTAAAGTAAAGTGTTATGCACAATCACACAAGTCGGCTCCGAACATTTTAAAGCCCCTTCAGTCGTCGGAGGCGCTCTGACAGATCATCTTCCGTCACGGTGGTCACCGAAGAACCCGCGTTGACGACAGAGTCAGTGATTTTGGGAGGATCAGGTGTCTCGGGTAGGGAGGTCGCAGCAAACCCACGAAAAGAGGTCATCTGGGCTGTTATGAAAAACAGAGAAAATATACATGAAGTGGTAAATAAAAGCCTCAGGAACGATGCTGCGGTAAAGACAGAAAATTAAACACGCGCGCCAGACCGTCGTGCCCCCTAGTTGCGTCATCAGACTGTGTGAAATCAGCTGTTGGTAAGATTAAACGTGCAACAGTGGTATTCCTGATGCGAACTGACTGTTTTGTTTTCTGCTAACCGTACGGAAAACCTGACACTAGTGCGCAACCTGGACCGGCCGACTTCCCAAAGCAGAAGATAAAGGTCCCTGGAAAAATTTCTATTGGGCACCGGCAAACAGTACGTATAACCAAAATATGGCGCCTAATAGTTCCTAAATGTTTATGGGCTCCAGCAACTGCGAGATGCCTGGAAATTCACTTGTTGGTGGCCGAAAGAGTGCGCCCACTGGACGCCTTAAGGGTAAGTCGTTCTCATTGGTGGACTTCAAGGTAAAACACTCATTGGCTAACCAATTGGCTTCAGGATGTGTCAGGCCAATCTTCTCTGGGTTGCTAGCGAGACAACCGACTCCGAAGACTGCCGGCCCGTAGTCTCAAGGATCACGAGCCTGCCTTATAATCCGAGGGCGCGTGTTCGAGCCTGCGTAGGGACCAGGCGACCTTCGCAGTATCCTTAGGCCGGGTGTAACTGGTGATGGTTGTGCAGCAGCGGAGCACCGGCACGCGTGCCGGCATACTGCTGCTGATGCCCAAGACTGCAACGGCATGCACCTTTAACAATGACCAACTACTGTAACATCGTAAAAACATACGAAGGAAAAAGATGGCACGAATGCACGCAATGAAACAATAACAGCTAGAGTAAAGATCAAAAATACTGGGGTGAGGTGTGAGTGGAAGGTCCCATGCTCTTGTGGTACGGAATCCGACAACTACTCATCGTAACAACAATGGGACAACTAATAACAACCGCATGTGTTGCACTGAGAACACCGGTGGGTAGTTTATCGGGATAGGCCACAAGCACCAACACCGGAGCCGGAGGGTGGAAAGGTGGTGCAACCGTCTGGCGTATAACACACAATGAACCAATTCGAATCTGCGTACGTGTGGAAAATCGAATTATCCCAGCCCGTATGCGATCGGCAGGGGCCGTATGGCAGCGAAACGTTGGTACAAGGTAATGATGTATTGCCGATACACTACTAACACTAGACAAGTAAAGAAACTGTAAAGGTGGCTAGCGACATCTATTTCTACTTGCGTTGCATGAGCATTCGCTATGATAACGCGATTGATGATGAAACGTTTTCAGCCTAACCGTCAGGCTCAACGACGAACAACATAGCAAGTGAAATTACAATACGTCCATTGAATAACATCCAACAAAGTGGGAGTTCTACAGACGTGTGAGAAACGTGACCTGATTGGCGAGTGCGGTATAAGCGCATCCAGTGACACAGAAAGAGGAGGCAACGAGTAAAACTGTGTTCAGAAACTAGGTTTGGTGAAGAGCGAATGAATTCGCTTGTGAAGTCAGTCAGACTGACGTCACACATGTGGAGAGGCAGATGCAATAGAGCGATGACTTATAATGGGTAAAAAAAGCAAATGCTTAACAAATCCTGTAGAATGGTTAGGGTGAATAATATCAGATAAAAAGACAGTGTCGATAAAAGAAACCGAGAAAGAATTGCAGTAAAACATGCCAGTATTTCAGTCTAAAGTTTAAGAGAAGGAGGATAGCCGCCGTGGCTCTTCATTCTTTCGGGAATCGTCAAAAATGCGCACTCCATCTGACCGCTAGAGGGCCAGAATACGCGTAAACCGGACCACGATATACACCAGACGATAGCATATTATAGGGATTGCTTAGTGGCGTATCACAGTAACTTGAAGTTAGGAGCACCTAGCCGAAAAGTGTCGGAAGCTAATTCGTGCTTGTAAATGACTGTTGGTCGCAAAGCAGTAGGTCAGTTAAAGTAAAAGGTATTGAACAAAGTGAACTGCAGCTTAGGCACGTGAGAGATGCCAATATGCATGGTTGACTAACTGGAAACAGCATGTGGAAGCCGGTTACGAGTTGAATCATTCCCATATACTCGTCTGCCTACAAGGAATGCTTGATATAGTCACCACCGTAGAAAGCCGACTAAGTTTCGGTGCTTCGTAGTGCCGCTCCCTTCGCCGGGTTAAAATATGACGGCTCGTTGCAACATTGATCAACAGATGGCTAATGGGGATGCAGCGCGTGTACCGTATTGAGTCCCAGGAACATTGGTATCGAGTTGAAGTAGAGGTGGGGGTGATTGATGAGTGATAAAGGAGAAACTAACTCACCTTTAGCAACCGCCCTCTCGGCATCACGCTGTAACAAAAGGGAGAGTGAGCGTAACACATCAAAGCACTAGCTAAACTCGATCTGCAAAAAGTGAGTAGGAGTCACAAGGCAATGCAATTGTAATTCAGCTCAGCTCAGGCAGTGAGATAAACCACGTACGTAGTAGAGTAAAAATATTAGCAGACAGCAATAGAGGGTTGAATAATAAAACAGCGAAAAGAACTAATGCGCAACGATGTAAATGAGGCGACAGACAGTGCTAGAATGCACAGGGACTGTGCTGCGCGGAAGGGATATCCAGTTACTGATGTGGTCGATATTCATGGTTCCACAAAGGAAGAAAATGAAGCACCATTCTGATCAAATTTTCAGTCAGTTCTGTAAGCAGTCCCTCAACCAACGGGAATTCGAAGAGCGTCAACTAACCAAATTAGACTGTTCAAGTTCAACAGACGCTCCAGTGCGTCGTCAGAAGGCATGTTACAAAACCCAACTGGCGGACCCCAGCATTAGACGCCGGGTGTAATTACCAAATACGAGTGGGGCTGCGCATGCAGCAGTGATCCGACAAAACCAGTGTTTTAATGGCTCCTGAAGACAGTGGTCAAATCTCTGACCTAATGAGCCCTCCTGATTAGCACAATGAAGCCACTTGTGCGTAGCCAGGCAGAGACGATGCACCTACCAAGCAGTGTGAATCGACTGGCCAACTCTAGTAACTGCTTGGTAATAGTGGGAACAAGCGAGTTGTCAGACAATGATTGTCGCATTACCTTACGTTGTGAAGCTGTATAACAGATGTCGGAGTATGCGGTGTAATGCATAAGTGTATATAAAACCACTTGCAAGGGGACTGGAACCACGCTGTTCAAGTACACCAAGTTTGTAAGGTTACCAGGCAAAATCCACAGCTTAGAAGGAGCGAAAAAGACTGAGACATTCGGATTTTGCGATAACAAAAACAGAGAAGGTTATAGAAGGGTTGACGCACTCCACTTATCTTGGTGACTTAGAGCAGCGTCCCGGAGATCCAAGTGTCATTCCTAGAACACTTTAAAAGGGATTCTAGAATGGTACAAGCTGAAATTCATGAGACAGCCGTCACAAGGCTTAAAAAGCAATGGATGATCGTTTCATTCTTTCGTGATCATCAAACGGTCGCACTCCACGTCGGCCAACGTGTGGAAAGGACTAAATTGGAAATGGTAACAACCCATTTCGAAATCTTTACATCCTAAATTGATTCCGCTTCGGCTTAACATGACTCGGAAATGGTATAGATGTGAGGAATTCCAAAGTATGCAGCTTGGTGCTAGAATGAAAATGAAGATCCCCGGCACGTCTATTGAATATGGACGACGTAACAGACAAATGCGATAAACGAAGGCCCAACCGAATGGAAACCTTTAGTGATTCCGCTTGCCTGGAACTAGCGAGTAGTCGCGGTGCGACTTTTGTGAGAAATTTGAAGAGAACTATGTTAAAGCGACTGTTTAAATGATTCTAGGATAACCATAGACATTTTAAGAAAGAAAAGTGACGGTCGATAGTTCAGGTTTATTCATCGCCCCAACACAGGTTTCGCCTCATCACAAAAAAACAAAGCTCAGCATAGAGCAATACAGAAATACCGGAATATTTCACAACCAAGGTCCGCTGCCGCATCAGTTCCCGGGAAAAATGGCGACGAAGATCAGAATGATAAACGCGGGCAAACGTGAGCACACTAGGTTAGCCAACTGATGAGTCATTACCAGGAGTGGTGCAGTGTTTGAGTAACGCGAGCTTAGATCGAAGAATAGTACGGAGCGAAAGCATTTTCCAATTAGCACCAAGTGGTTGAAAAGCCCAGCGGTGATACTGGAACCCCGAACAGTCAGAGGATGTGGTGTAAGCCACTGAATTCGAGGTGAGCATCCGATATCTATGGATTCCAGTGTTCCGATATCGCAACCTACGACGCGCACGCTACGGTGCAATATACATCTTGGTTCCTTGTCCAACAGGTTAAGGGGCATGAGGAGAAAGCTTATCACAAAAACAAGCAAGGTATCAAGAGGACGTCTGATCGAAACAAGCAGTACTGTACAGCATTTCAATGAGAACGCATCCAGTAGAGGAGAAATTGTGTGTTGTGTGTGCCCTGTCGGCACAGATGGACGGCCAGGTGTCCCATTTGGGCGCGTGTACGGTCACCCGCAGAAACGGAAAATAAGAAACAATGTACAATTTCCAAATATGACATTACAATGCATTGTTAAAATCACTGATCTTTACTTATGATTCACTTCATGGTAAGAGAATCGTACAATCAGTCAACTCTAGTGGCCGACAGGATGCAGCTAAGTGATCGTAGTTTGAGATTCTAACCCTTCCAGTGAGACATTTGGGATAAATTTCAGGCAATTTACTACAGGGTTGGTACAGCCCTGTCAAACTCACTCGGATTTCACCGGCGCCCGTAAACATGGTCGCTATGCAGATACTTAAACTATGCAGTTCAGAGCGGGGCTCTCCCTACGTAAAGTGCCGCCATGAGTCCACTCATGTGCGTAGGTCATAATTGAGTTGTCCTCAGTAAAAACGCAACCAAGATATTCCGCACAGTTCTTACTGAACTCACCCCAGTATCATGAATGTACTTACCGAGCTCTCCTCAAGTCAACAGTTTGTCTCCTGACCTGTGTTCATGCAAATGCTTTAGCTACCGAGCACGTTCAACAGCTGTGATGTGTCCAAAATTGCAATAGCATCGACTCCACCCCATCTCTGCCGGGAGATAAGACCACTATATGGCAACTCATATGCCAAAATACTAAGCCTTTCCTTATACTTTACACAGTTAATACTGTTTTAATGAAATCAGGGTTGCCTTGGCTGAGTCAGTAAAAGTACTCTTACTATTGGCCAGTCTTCTTCCTGGGGGTCTCGGTACAGTTGTACGGCTTTACGCGTTCCGTGTACATTCTCAGTTAGGAGTTCACGTCTGCCAACTAAATCCATAATTCGTTCCAATTCGAATCGTTTAGGCTACTCTGCGCGAGGGAAACGACCAGTGTGTTCGTCCGTTCTGACCAGAACAGTCGAAAGTAATTAAGTTTATAACAATCAAAAATATTGTCTGTGTATGCTTAAATCTTAAGTACTGCGTTATGACGAGTAGGGAGTAGATTTCCGTCGAGTGTTGACAGTAGTCGTAATCAGAAAAAACGCGCTTACGGATACGTAAAAATGGGGCACAAAAGAATTTTCTGAGTGACCGATATTTGTCCCAGCAGTTTCATTGGGTCACAAGAAATGGTCACTCAGGGCGCTCCAACGGGCCTTCGTGTTATGCGAGTTCCAAAGAAGCAGGGGTCTGGTTATGCCATTGCATATCGTCCGAAAACCAGAGGCAAATTCAGCATGGGCGCCAAACCTACAGATTCAAACAAACAAGCCCACCAAGCATGATTAACTGAACTGGTCGTGAGCCGCTGCTGGTAGTAGTGCTATTGGAATGCTGAAGTTTAGACAACAGACCTTCGCATAATCATACAGTGCCTTGAAAAGGTGGGCTTTATGTGAAGACCATCTAGCTATAGGTGCGTGCCAGTGGTTGTGTAAACGCCCGAAACTATGCTAGAAAACGGTTCAACTTCGCCAATATCGGACTCATCGTTTGATACGTGATAGTGGTCTAATCGTGCCTCTATAAGTTAACAATTCTTTCAAAATCTACCGTTTTGAGCATTCTGGCACAAACCCAACCTTGGAGCAACAAGCTCAACCACGATGTAACAACACAGTGAAGCCTAAGTAGGGTAAATCAACACGATAAGCAAACGGAGGATGCGGTGCCTCACTTTGAATCAGCACGTGAATGAACAAGGACTCGCTCTACGTGCTGCGGCACGATAGCTGGGACGTTACGCAACTCTAGATAACGTGTACAATGACAGTAACTCCTCTTCGTGTACAATGGGACAGTGGGAGGAAGTTCAGTGCGAGCTGTAACAAAACAATGGTGCACCCGCTAAGTCTGAGTTGGGTGCTGGTAAGAATTGCGCGTTGTTAGTCCAATGTTTGGGGGCAAACCCGAAGCGGGTATCACCTAGCAATGCAGATAGCTTAGAGTTGTAGGAATATTTCGATCATTCAAACTATCTGCCCTCCAAGCCATTTCACTGTTCAGTAAATGGTTGGTGACATCCGGTTCCGGATTTGCCCGTCACTGCGGTCTCCATAAAACAGCCACAGAAAGCCTGCGACTACAGCCGGGTCATGGGTGGCTTGCGCTGCACCATCCATAGTCCCACTTACACACACCACATACCCAGTGTTAACCAGAAAGAATACGATCGCGAGACATGCGGATGGGAGCCACGTTTCATCAACGGAACCGGCCCACACTGCTTCAACATGCACAGCATGGGCATTCCTATATAAATGGGGAATCATGTGTGCCAAGTAGTGGCTGGGCCGTAGCCCCTCCCACACTGGATGCATGGAACCACGGTCAAGAGGATCGCGCAACCCGTCTCACCCAGGCAATGACCAACTCTCTCTTGCGACCACTAAAATACTACTACCAATAATAATGTATATTCTCGGGTTCAGGAGAAATGCCCTTTTCGGCAGGGACAAATATTAACAATTATTTCGTATAATATTTACAACATTCCAAATGTCAGGCAAAGTAAAAAATCGTGTTTTTAACATCCATGGTTGTCAAGTGTAAGGCCTTGTATTGGCAATGTATAACTTATGGTGTCCTGGCGGAAAGCTTCATGTACGGACGGAACCAATTTATCAGCCGTTGGATTTCTTGAGATGTGTTGTGTTGGTTTATGTGGGGTTAAGCAGGGCAGAATGAAACCATTCGGGTACGAATTCCGTCTGAACAGGCTGAAGAGACGATCTTCGTCCGTCTGCTTCAGCTGTTGCGTGATATAATGTGTCAGTCCTCGTTTGAAAAGAGTTAGCATGCAGCTGTGTTAGTAGACTGCCGGATGATTGCTGTTGTAGTTGAGCATCTTGTCCGTATGTGTTGATTTTCGATAGACCGTCGTTCCGAGTGGTCCTGTACCAGTCCAGAGCTTGGTGAAAGCCGCAAGGAAGCTGTCTCGTCGATGCCACCTTAGCTTTGCACGATAGCCAGCTGTCTGTGACGGTATGTTGTCTACACAAGGTGTAGGCGCCTTGACCCAGAATGTTTGCTTAGGGCATTAAGGTTTTCAGGTAAGTCCCCCTTCTCTCCCTCTTCTTTTTCTTTATTTCATAGATCTTCATGGTTGTATGGCAGCGAAGCATCAGTTCAAATGGCTGATGTACTGCTGTTGATGATGACTGGCGATTCCATAGGTGTCTTTTATTTGTTGGTAGATTCGACCGTTGAAAGTGAATTGTGTTATTAGACAGAATTGCAGCAATTCCATCATTTGTCTGGCGTCAAGTTTACAAGTTGTGTCAAAAGCTGGGTGTTCTTCCGATAGAGCAGCCATTGTTTGTTTCGCCAAATTGATGGCAATCGATGTGAAGAGCATAGTCACATTAAAAGAGACCATTATTTCGTCTCGTTCTATGGTTGTGGTTTTGGGTTTTGCTAGGAACCGCTCTGCCGAGTTGATCGAGTGTTCTGATCCCGTAATTAAACGTTTTAGCCGTCTCCAGAGCTGCTTTGCAAGTCTGTAGTTTGGTGTTCCAGGGACGGAGAGGCACTCCGCTTTTGTGTACTTGTGGTAGACCGTAGAATTGCGGTAGTATCGAATCTTGCGGTTTCATCAATTTGTGTTCACATTTTGTGATTCGCCCCATTTGTTTTAGTTTTAACAGAGTGCGCTTAAAGGTTTTTGTCGGATCTTTGTCTATCGGTTGGTAAGTGTTGGTGTCGCTGAGCAGATGTGCCCTCATCATGTAATCGGTTTTTTCCATTAGAACCGTTAGGCGACCTTTGTAGGTCGGCAGTAGAACTATGCTCTTGTCATTTTTAAGACTTGTCAGAACTTTTTGTTCCGTGGAGTTGAATATGTTGGGTTCCACTGCATGACTGAGAGCCGGATGTTCCTGCGTCTGACCACTTGTTGTGCTTCAGGTGTTATGTTGGATAACTTCAGGGTTGATTCCAGTGCAACGAGGAAATCGATGGAATTGGAGCCCTTGATATTGAGCTGCATAGATCGGACAATGACCGCTTTCTCAGGGTTTGAAGCAGAACTCGATGAAGAAGCACTTAGATCTCGAAGTCGCTTACGAGGCTCTGCGAAACAGGACCTTAGCGCCGCACTGAGGATGTTGCCCAGTCTGGCAGCGAAACGTCTGCAAGATAATCATTCAGCTCGGCGAGTAGTGTAAAACCCACAATAACCAATTCATCTTGCCCTTGGGTAAAGGTTTAGGAGCAGTTATGTGGATAAGAGAAACACTGGAGTTGTACTCATACTTACATAAGATATCCGAACATTTTCTATACACTGTGGCGTACTAAAAAGGAGTAGTAAAATACGGAGGTGTTTATTTATTTTCAGTTCAGTAACTGTACATATGGGCCGAGATGTATAGAAAGAGAGACTAATTTGTTGTGTGTGAGCCGGAAGTGGTTAGAATTTGTCAACTGATGCAGGCGTTTTGGTTTGGCTGTACGCTAGGCGTAAGCCAGTAAGAGGAAAGGTGGAAGAGAAATATTGGTAATTAGGATGAAGATATTGAAGTATAATCGGTTAGGTTGAACTTGCTGCCTGACATGTTTACATGGGGGCAACAAGGGATGAAGATGGATGGACTCAGTCTCCGTTACATCCTCTGATCACACGTCATAATATGACTGTAAGGTAGGCATGTCTGAGTAAGCAGAATATGAAGGGTGAAGACAAAAATGGTTAGCTTAATCTGTTTGCAATTCCTCTATAACTCACATTTATTGGTGTGCCGGTGAGATATGCTTTCCCGATTAAAGAAGGAAAGAGGGTGAGGAACAAAACAGTGAAGGGGATTCTGTCAATCTTTTGTTTTTTCAATGCATCTCTTCAGGATGGATAGGTCAAGTAACTACATTGGAAGTAGCATATTTTATGCATATGCGTAAACAGCATATTTACGTCTCGACCCCCTCCTCAAATAGCGTTGTTGCATTGTAATTTAGCTGTAACATTTTTTACGTATTACGCTGTTAGGTAGTTTGAAACTGCGGTTTTTTACAGGTAGGCACCTTGCCAACATGCACAGTAAGCGCAATCAAACAGTGGGTAGCAAAAGGGAGGTTTAATGTATCAAGCATACGTCCGACAGTCAGCCGAGTTAAGCCAAAGTGAGAAGACAAAACACATAATATGCATCCTGAGCTCAGTACATACCAAACATATGAGTGACATATTCGAATGCAATCCAAAAAGGATTGATGGAGTTGAATTGCACCATCATCATCAATACACGTTAGTTGAGGGTGAGAAACACACCTCAGCTAAGGTGCCGTAATACAAAAAATTTACACAACAAAAAAATTCAAAGGCAGGTGATATAATGTTAGATATATTTTGCACTTCGTAGATCGGAATTGGAGGGGGAATCTAAAAGGGAGTGGATGGACAAAGAAAGTCACAACACAAACACCATTGAGACCGGCTCTTCGCCATAACAGCAAGTGTCCAACCAAATGTGTTCATGTCCTTAGGAACCCAGACAGACAGTCGGGATGCACCAACCGACGCCAAGTTCGAAGTGAGGCTTTTCATTTCTCTCGACCAAGTCATCGCTTGGCCTCCCCTCCTTCTCTTTTAATCGCACCCCCAGCACGCAAACAATGCACATCGCGGGAGTCGGTGTGCTGGCATGCGCAACACGTGGCCCAGCTATCGGTTAAATTGCACCAAGGTAGAATATGACGTAAGCATAACCGTTAACACAGAGAGAACCTCACCTGCCAAAGAAAGAGATTGGAATCTTCCCCAGGAGTCAACTTCGAGGGCTCGTATGTGACATCATAGGAACTGGCAATTTCTGTCAGATAACGTTCCACAACGGACTAAATTCAAGGACACAGTCATCAATGGCAGCGAAAGAACACACCTGTGGTGGAACTGGTTTGTCCAACCAGGCACGAATCCGGTCGCTGACACCTAGTCCTTTGCGTAGAACGTCTTCACAGAAACCAGAGCCGTATTTACTGCGCAATGCACTAGCTATAAATTCCAACTCCGGTATGTCATTCGAGGCCTTCGGAGCAGCCCAGATGAGCGTGGCGACACATTCCAAAAGACTCTCATTCACTGATCTAGGGAAATAGCAGTAAGGTCGAGAGTATATAAGCCGTACTTCTCCGTTTCGTAAAACGTGAATCTTGACAACAGCAAGTCACAATAACCTTCTAGCAAATCATAAGCTTCGGCGATAAAGTCATCACGTGCGACTTGCTCGACCTGGATACGAGCGTGTTCGTAGCGGCCACAAGAAAGAAGCTCGGCAATCGATTTGTGTGCACGCAAAGAAAGCTCAATCTTCTTTTTCTGATGTAGTCTCAAGCGGTGAGCAGCTAGTCGAAGCTTTGCTCTCAGTTTATCTGAACTCATGCTGAAACAGTACAAATAAATGAGAAATGAAGTAGAGACTCGCAACTGCTGTTTCAGCACGAACAAAGTAATATGAACAGATAGGAGTGACCACAATACAGGCCGTAAACAAAATGACACCAGATTAGTCAAGCTCAGGAAGTGTGTGAAACATGTGACAGGGAAATCACTTCCTGACACCCCATGGATCCGAGACCTGGACAGTTCGAGTCGGAGACATTAAACGCTTGGCCGTGTTTGACCAACAGTGCTTACGCAGCATTCCTCACGTCCGATGGGAACACCGGGTGAGCAATGCTGAGGTCTACCAGTAGGTTTTTTTTGCAAGAAGCTTCCTGGAGCCTCATTCGAGTATGTACTAAATCCCAGTCGCTTACATTGGCTAGTCTATGTCCTTCGTATGCCCGTTGACCGGCTTCCTCGGCGTGCACTATATATCTTGGAATGCGCCAAGTCGGAAGAAACCGTAAGATGACCAGTTCATGACGTGGCATAGTTGCATGAAGAAATTCACTGAGGCTTGCTCAGGCCAGTGCATGCCGCCTTCGTGGATGGGGGCCTCGGGATAGTCCACACCAATGGTTAGAGACCGTAGCAGACATGGCGTAGTCACGCAGTCAGTGGTGTTCCTACATTTGGTTTCTTGGATCTGTTTGTTAATTATCGTTCCATTTTGATTAGTCTAATACACCTGCTCGCTTCCTTATTGTTTACATTCTAGTTGCATTCAACCCCACTATCTTGCCGTTGGTATTCTTGCGATGTGAGTCGTGGCAACTAAATCTACCGCATTTCGGTGCTCAGATCATAGTTGCACAACTAAACTGTACTGAACATGCAACCAATCCGACATCGGAGCTGTTAGTGCAAGCAGTTAGCTGCCATGAGCCCCAAAAATGGGAAAGCTGCATGAGTAATTCCACGTAGTTAGCTGATGTCCTAACAATATGTTAAATAGGAAGAAAAATGAAAGAGCGAACAAACTGGAGAGGAATGTGACTTAACAAAGCATGCAAAAGTTTCCGGCTGATTCATCAAGCGTGCAAGTTTTACGATAAGCTTAATGGATACATTGGGAGTGAGAGGGCGTAGCCAAGTTAAAGAATGGCTTAGCCGCCATGTAAATACTAAGGAATAACCTGAAATTATGTGCCGCACGTAGCAACAATGCAGTTCCGTTCAAGTAATCAACGGTTGGAGTATCAATCACCAAGAGATCATGTAGTTATGACATACAAATAAACAAAAATTGTTATTGACCGCTCGGATAAAAAAGAAGAGCTGTTGGCCAAAATTAAATGTCACATCTTCCGATTTACAGTCAGTGGGGACATAAGCTGAGATACTAAAAAATCACTTTGCCTTAGGTTCCTGTTTGTAGACTCCGAGCGAGCTTCCAAGTTGAGTAACTCATGTAACTAGTATCCATCCGAGTAGACGAGTCTCTGCACTACTACGGAGTGATATTAGTGTAAATATTATGAGCTGCGTATTCCGTAATTGGGGAGATGCAAAGTGTGTAAGACGAATCATTTGAACCCGAGTCTGGCAAGCACAGACAAAGTGAGGGGCTGTTACTCTGCATAAGGCATTAGTAGTACGCCGGCATATCATTCCGAAGCTTCGCTGCCACGCGACCACCACCGATCGTGTGTGAATTGAGTAGAAGGCGAGATCGCCCGCACTTACACGGATTCGAACCGGTAACCTCCGGATTACAAAGCAAACGCGTAATCCCTTAGACCACCAGCTGACGTCCTGTGTGCATGTTTTGAGGACAACACACATTAACTGCAAAGAAACGTAAAGACATCGCGAGTGTTGCTTGTTGGCAATATGACACAAAGTGTGGGCACTAAAAGACCTAATGTAGAATTGTGGTGGGCCGAAAACAGGCATTACTGCGCAGTTGTCAGTAGCATAGAAGTGGCAGAAAACCAAACGGTAAAGGGCCAACAGCAGGTCATACTAGTTCCCCGACAGAGGAGTAACGCTTTGGAATCTCAGATGCATGCGCGCGAAGAATAGACACAGAAGCAGTAAGCGCCACGCAACCTAAAACAGAAAGCGTGGTCCTCCCTAAGACTGACATGCCTCAATGGGCGCACTGTTGCAAATTGGCTAACAGGCAGTACTTGCCCGGACACAGCAGATCCTATCAATCGATACCTCCTGCTTATCAGAAATTCACCTGCAAGATACAAGTTCTGTGATTGCCCTCTGATCCCCAACATGCGACACTGGAGCTATTTTCTCATTGCGATTGTCCGGAGATAAAGCGGCTTCAAATGCCGCTCAAGCTGGTGTGGGCATTGCTCTTAGCCTCGCGGCTGAAGCTACTCTGATAGATCGTATTCCAATGAACAGCCGGATGTGCGCTGTCAGATTGGCTCGCTCGTTCAAAGCATCGAAGTTGCGTGGGGACAAACAGTGCTTGTTTGTCGTTGCGGCTTATGCGCCCACAAATTGTAGTGCTGGCTAGGTGGAAAGTGACTTCTGTTACCAATTGAGCACACTCCTCCGTCACAGAAAACGTACGGATACTGTGGTATTTGCTGGTGATTTGAACGCCAAACTGTCCACTGATGAGCTTCATCTGAGCGGTCAATACGGTGTAGGCCCCCGTAACCATAAGGGTGAACGATTGCAATACCTTGGTGAAGATGCTCGTCTTTTTCTCGCGAGCACTAACTTCAGACACATCACCCGCCGGAGGGGGACATGGCGCCCACCAGCCTTGGACGCAAATCGATCACACTGCGAGGAGTTACCGCTGGAGAGGACGCGTTCAAAACCATCGCTTGATTTGGAGCACGAGCGAGGAGTTTGAGCACGTACTTGTTTGCGCCGACCATCGAGTGCGCTTCGGTGGACGTCCGCAACGATGATTTGAACGCACAGGTATTTGCCAGCTGGCGAGGACAGATACTCAGAACGTGTATCAAAGTGTACTGTTATCTGAGCTGAGTAAACGCTCATTGAACACAGTGGAAGAGCACTGATCGCAAACCCGCCAGATGTTATTGGCAGCAGGTATGTCTTCATGTGGCAAATTAAATTGCGATCTTAGGCATTGGGTCTCTATGCAGTCTCTGGAACTTCCGGATGCACGTAGGTGTGTTCTGTCTGAAAGCAAAGCTCTTAGGTGAAGTTGCATGCTACCCTGAAGAGAGACCATGAAACCTGGTGGTCTCATCGTGACTCGGAGATGGAGACAACCGCTGCCCTTGGTAACCATCGTAAGTTATTCTGTCTATTACGAGAAACGGGCCGCAGGAAACCTGGTGATAGGGAGACCATAAGCAACGAGAGTGGACAGCCGATTTACAGCTAGTCGAAGCGCTTGGAGCGTTGGGCCGAACACTGTGAGAAGCAGTTTAATCAGTCAGAGTTGCCAGCTTCTCCATCGGCCAATGAGCGTTCTACTCCTTGGGCTGTCGCCTTGCATGCGCTCACACGCACAGAAATCGAAGATGAGGTTAAACGGCCAAATTGAACAAGACCACCGGAACAGATGGACTTCATCCAGTTCTCTTCGAATTTGGAGGAGCTACTCTTTTGGACGGCTTAGATAACTTAATAGTGAATCTATGGGAGCAGGAGACTGTCTCGACAGACTGGAGGCGCTCCGTAATAGTTCCGATCTTCAAGGGAAGATCCCGTTCCGAATGCGGCAATGATAGAGGAATCAGTCGGGTCTCTATTGCCTGTAAGTTACTTGCGTCTGTCGTCCTCCATAGACTGACTGGCACTCGTGAAAGCCAGATGCGGGAGAAGCAAGCCGGGTTTCCTCGAAATCGAAGCTGCACTAACCACATGTTCATCTTACGTCAGTTGTTGGAGCACTGCCATGTTTATTGGCGACCTACCGTAGTCGTGTTCCTATACATCAAGAGGACCTTTGAGTCAGTTAATCAATGTGCCCTTTGGGACTACCTATTCAGGAAAGCTGTGTCCGAAGAATTTGTAAATATTATTCGAGCGATATACGCGCGTAGCTCACGTAGAGTGAGGGTTTACGGCAAACCTTCGGCGCCCTTTAATATCTCCAGCGGTGTGAGACAAGATTGCCCACTGTCACCTTTCCTCCCTAACTGCGTCATTGACGAAATCATCAAAACGGTGTTTGATGGGCACGAGTTAGCAAGTGTGGAGCTGCTCCCAGATGAACGAGTTCTCAACTTGGAGTGGCCGACCACATTGCGGTCATCTGTGACAGCTTCCGAACGTGTCAAGTTGCGCAAGATAAATAAGCTCTGGCTATCAGTCGTTTCGGGCAATGCTTTGCACCATCGAAATTTAAAGTTCTTCTCCAAGATTGGCAGGGACCCATTCTTGCATGGACCCTTGGCGGTGATCATCTAGAAGTTGTCGAGAAATTCAAGTATCTAGGCAGCTGTATCAGCGCCAGTTGAAAGGAAAATGAGATCATGAACCGTATAGCAAAAGCTCCATGCGTTTTTGTTAATTTCCGACATCTGTAGCGCCGACGTGACATTGCTCCCGCGCTAAAGGACAGAGTTTACAACGTATTCGTCCGTTCAACCCATCTGTATGGCTGGGAAACCTAGTACCTCAAGTCGGCAGACACAAAGAGACTAGCTACGCTCGATCATCGCTGCCTTCGCAGCTTAGCCCATGTCTCGCGGGAGCACAGCGTGAGTCATGGGCGTTTGGGCGCCGGGTATTTGTTGCAGGAAAAGCGAGTGATTCGCTCAACACCATTATGTCACGCACCAGGCTCCGATGGCTTGGCCACGTATTGCGCATGTCAGCATGCCGACTCCAGCGACGTGCGTTGTTTGCGCGGCGGGGGTGCGGCTGGAAGAAGAGGAGGGGAGGTCAAGCGATGACTTGGTCTAGAGTAGTGCTTCCCGACCTTTTTGAGGTTGTTACACCCAAAACGAGTTCACTATAAACAATTACCCCCAAAAGGTTACAGTTCAAAAAGCCACTTAACTATTGCATCCTTTGCTCTAATTTACCGAAAAGAGTATATTTAATTACGTTATCAGTTAGAGAAAGAAAACATCTACTTAATGCAATGTAAAAAGGCTAAAACAAGTGATTTATGTTCATCAGACGATTGAAGTTGTTTTGTTCCAAAAGTTCATGGTATATCTTGTGCGGTTTCCGCTAACGCACATCGTGCGCTGTGCTCCAATTTCATCCGTTTCCTTGCTTTTGTGTGTGATCTCTGATCCACACCATCCTTAATGACAAGACCCCACAACCGTCCTGTACACCAATCGCCCGTTTTGTCCCTACTACCTTGTAAACATTCGGTCGTTCCTTTACCTGGTCGGCTGACCTATGCTTCCCACCTTAGTGTCTACGCAACTCTGTAATTCGACAGAGCGAACACCTGCATGACTCAAAGATACAACAACCGACGAGCGGGTCGATAGAGGTGTCATCTAGCTGTGCTGTTTTGCAGGCTTGCATCCGTAGATTCGATAATAAAGTTTATTATTGAAAATTGTCTAATTCGCTGAACACTCACTAAGGATTAGTCACTGATGGCCAATTAACATTGATTATGTACTTTGTTAATGGTGTTGATACAGAAGACTTGGTTATTAATTTTGTTTGGTAACAAATTGATGACTTAATCCTCGTACTTATATTTACCCCTGTAAAGTGCCATTTTACTCCTTTGAGGGTAATTAACCTCAGATTGGGAACCGCTGGTCTAGAGTGATGAAGTCCCTCACTTCGAAGTTGACGTTTCCCGACAGCCTGGCAGGGGACCGAAGGATGATGAACACATTTGGTTGGATCCACTAGCCGAGATGATGAAGAGTCGATTTCAATGGCGTTTATGTTGTGAGTCACGTTTCCCTCCCCTTCCCATTAGTTTCCCTCTCTAACAACGATGTTAGCGTTAGATTACTTTTTCATGGCTTTCAAATTTACCTTGCCCAATGTCTTATCTTTTTGTATTGTGCACATTAGCTGAGGTGTGTTTCTCACCCTCGACTAACGTGTACTGATGATGATGAACATGCGAGGAGTACATCATGCCGAAATCGCTTGTATTACATCGAAAAGAGGTCTATCTCGAGTAGCCTCTGAAGGTACGACAGCTTCCTTAATTAAAATACCATTTTCGTCCCCGAGCGTAAGACTCGTTCAACCACCATTTTGTCCCGGACTAGGCAAGGGGGACAAGCCTGTACACAGTATTCTAAGTGTCGCCTAATAAAGATTGCAAATAACCTTGTGAACATATCGGTTGTGGTGATTCCGAATGACCTGCGGACCATCCACAACATGTTGAAACCTTTGCGATCAGTAACCACCCAATGTTCACTGGAGTTAAAATCGGACAACAGCAAGACATGTACGTCAGCTCGAAGTGGTACCCGCGGCACTTCATTACCCTCAAGTAGATAGTGCGTCGGGTGGTCGCTTGATCCTACTCGAGAGATTTATGGTCAGCTATCACAAAACGGGACAATTCCAGTCTATCTAGAGTCCTTCGTAGGGCCAGTGAACCGGCAGGTTTTCAATGTGAACCAGAGTTTTGTCGTCCGCGAAAATTAGGGATAGCACTCCAAGCTGATCGATTAAGTCATTATCGAACAAAGTGAATAGCAGGGAGGCCAAGGACTGACCCATACGGGACACCGCTGCGAACACACTGATTTAAATGCAAGCCAGAACCCACACGAACACACGTTTCCTCCTGATTAAAAAAGCCAAAATCCAATGCAAGATTGATCCATAGGTCTGAAGCTTGTATAAAAGACAAGAATGCGGAACGGTGTCAAAGTTTGGAAAAAGTCGAGGAACAATCCGTCCAGTGCTTTTCCTCGATCAACCACTTCGGCCCAATGTTCGCACGCCACTAACAAGTTGGTAAGACAAGAAGAACCCTTACGAAAACCGTGTTGGGAGGGGCTGAGCAACCCAAACGAGCTTAAATGGCTTTCAAGGGCATCCCTCACAAGTTTTTTCAGGAGCTTAAGCAACACGCAGGTTAGGCTAACAGGTCTATAGTTCTCAGGAAGGCGTCCGTCACATTCTTTTAAAAACGGGGCATACATAATCATTATCATTATACACGTTAGCAAGAGGTGGAAAACATCGCAGCTACTGTGCCGCAATATACAAGAAAAGAAGAAAAAACCTGCAACAGAGGCACGCCAGCTAAGCCACCAGAAACGGGTGGGTATGGCTCTTGAATGTTACAATCAGGTATTATGCCGCAAAATGTATAATATGCGAAATTTATAACATGCTAGGAAATAAGATCGTGGTTGGGGTAGGAGGCTAAGCGGGAGGAGAAGGACAAAGAAAGTAACAATACAAACGCCACTGAGGTCGGCTCCTAACCATGTCAGCAAGTGTATCCAGCCAAAGGTGTTCATGGTCTTTCAGACCCCAATCAGGGAGCTGAGAGGATCCAACCGAGCCTAACTTCTTAGTAAGGGCCTTCACTGCTCTTGATCAAGTCATCGTTTAACCATCTCACCTCTTCTTCCATCCACACCCCCGGCGCGCAAACAACGCACGTCGCAGGAGTCCGTATGCTGACATGCGCAACATGTGTCCCAGCTATCGGAGCCTGGTGCTGAGCGGTTCATTTTCTCTTCCTGTGCCATAAACAAGGGGTCGAACAGGCTCATTGCTCACCCGGTGTTTCAAGCAGATATGAGCCAAGTCGCGAAGGTATGGGTGGTCGGTCGTAAGTAGCCTCCTTATTTCTGCCAATCTACTAGGCCAGGTTTCACAACCGTTCAGACATACACAGCGTTTTTCAGTCGATAGGTGGAGAACAGCTGCGCAGCGACTTCTTAAACAGTCGCGTAATTGGACAGCAAAGCTCATCTACCAACTCATACAAGTTTTGGAGGAATAGCGCCCACTGCTGCAGCCTTAGTAGGATTTACCTCACGTAGAAGCTGGAGCACCTTGGGTTCCGACATAGAAACCTCCTCCAGATAAGCGTCTAAAGGAACCTTTACCTTCAAACGAACATGCAGCAGGCGAGACTCCCGAACAAATACGCCTGCATACTGTTCCCTAAGCAAAGAGGTTATATCAAGATCAGTGATAGCAGCAGAGCCGTCGGGATCGAACAACAAAGGGTGGTCGTGTGCACGTTGCCTCGTCTTTTCATATAAAACAAAGAAGCGTTTTGGGTTTGATGTGGCTGTACGGATAAGCTTGATTTCATATTGTAAGCGAGCACATCCCAGATACTGTTTGTAGGCATTTCGAACTTTTCGTAATTTTGAAAAGTGCATGCTGAACGAGCAGACACATAAGCACGCCAACATCTGGTCTACCTGTTAAGCAGCTTTCGCGCCGCGAAACCAAACCAGGGTGGCTTCGATTCAGTGTTATTCCTCAAATAAATTGGTACGTGATGGAGAGACAACGCAGATAAGTAGGACTTGAATGCGTCCCAGATTGCCTGAACATTGTCGGTTACAGGAATGGCGCAAGGTGAGTTAGTGCCCTATGCTTTCATTGCTTGAAAATCGGCACGTCATGTTTGGTCTTAGGATAGTGTAATCATTGGATACCTGATTGAGAGTGCACTTGAATGACAGGCATGCAAGGTCATTAGCACCCAGAAATGAATAGTAGCCAATGTCTCCGATAATGTCAATAGCCTTGGCGAAGACCAGATCCAAAAGTGACGGATTTTGACTCACCATGAATCTGGTTGGCCGGTCAACAAATTGATGTAAAGGAGCATGCATGGCTAGATCAGGTAGCTCCATGGAAGTCTCCCGAAGTACCATCAGTCCAGTTGAACAACTATGATGCGAGCACCGAGGAGCGGTGGATTCAGTTGCCACGACTCCCATCCGAAGAATAAAAAATAACAGCGGCAACATAGTGGGATTGAATGAAAATAGAACGTCACGAAAATTGAAGCAAGAAGACAGTGTGTTGAACTACTCAGAATAGAACAAAAATTAACAACCAAATCCAATAAACCAAATGCAGGAACGCCTCTGACTGTGTGACTGTGTTATTGGTGTGGACCATCCACAGGCCCCTCTTCACGAGGACGGCACGCACCAGCCTGACCAAGCCCCTTAGACAATTGCTTCATACCTCTATGCCACGTCATGGACTGGCCATCTTGCGGTTTTTCCTAACTTGATGCAGCCACGGCGTATAACGCACACCGAGGAAGCCGGGCATACAGATGACATGACCTAGCCAACGTAAGCGATTAAGAATCAGTAAGCACTCGAATGAGGAACCAAAAGGCCTATTGGCAAAAACAAACTAGCGAACCTCAGCATTGCTCACCCGGTGTTCCCACCAGACGTGAGCAATACTCCGCAAGCACCGGTGATCAAGCACCCCCAAACGTTTAAGGTCTTCGCCTCGAACTGGCCAGGTCTCTGATACATATAGTAAAACTGGCCTTATCTTAGCATTAGGCACCTTACCTTTCACTGATAGGCTGATATCCCGCCGTCTCCACAGATGGTTGAGTCTCTGGAAAGCCACACGGGTACTGCTGATATGCAAATCATTTGCCTCAGTGATGTGACGAGCAAAGATGACACAGCTACCAAGGTAGGTGAACCGATCCACCAACTCCAGTGTCTGTTTGGTGGTAGCTAGAACCGGAGGTGTGTCGATTCAGTACTGCACCAATACCTTGCACTTCGAAGGTACAAAACACACACCGAAGCGTGCAGCGCTACGCGTCAGTTTAACCAGTAGTGTTTGCATAGCCATTGCGTCAGGCCCAAGGAGAGCTATGTGGTCCGCATACTCCAGGTTTGTCAATCGGTTACCTGGAAGAACTTCTACTCCGGTAGAATATGAAGGAACGGAGTTATTCATGATCGTTTCTATAACAAAGTTGAAGAGCAAAGGAGATATTGAACAACCTTGATGAACCCCACTTATCACAGGGAACTCAGGAGACAGTTTCCTGTAGATTCTTACATGGCCTCGGGGGGTCACGGTAGATAGACTACATAATGAAAAGGAATTTAGCTGATACGCCTTTCATAGGTAGGAGTGTCACAAGCTGGCGCGGTCAACAGAGTCGAAAGCGGCTTTCAAATCAAGGAAAACCACCATAGTCGGTCGTTTGTATGTCTGTCTGCTCTAAAACTTGGCGAACAATAAACATGTAGTCGATACTACCACAACCAGGGCGGAAGCCAGCCTGGTTTTCAGTGATTCCGTTCTCACGGGGACCACTAAATCGTCAGAGAACGATACCGGTGAGAAGTTTGGAGGCGACGGAAACAAGGCTAATGCCTCGATGGTTTTCGCACAAAGTACGCTGAAGCGTCTTGAACATGGGTACGACAGTTGACAGTTTGAAGGCACCTCTTCAGCGTTCCAAATTGTGTTAAATAGAGTAGCGAATCCAGCCGACAAAGTGTCTTCGCCATCTTTCAGCAAGGATGGAGTAAGGTCGTCGGGTCCAGAAGCCTTGTTTCGATTCAACACGACAAGCTCATATAGAATCTCTTCCAAAGGGAAAATGTGACATCTACTTCCCACGTCGGCTGATGCAATTCGGTAAGCAGCAGTGTCGCGGCATGCCTGCTGAACTACTCTTCAAAATGTTCCGCCCAACGGGTTAGTCGAGGACGTTGAGAATGGATCAACTGTCCGTCTTTCTCAGCTACTGTATCGCTAACGGACCCATGTAACGGATGAGTTGGGATAGCACTAGGCCGATCTCAATAACACTGGCTTTCTCCATCTCACGGGCTCTTACCATCAACCAACGTTCCCGACCGATTCGAAGAACCCTTGTCAGATGTCGTACCAGTGAGTTCCGGACAAACTGAAACTCAGTGCCCATCAGAAGTTGTTTCCGTGCTTCGAGCAAACTGATCGATATCTCAGAGATCTACCCACAGTTACGACGTCTCAAGATGGGTACAGAGCATGCGTCAAAGGCATTGTTCAAGGCCCATTTGAGACGATTCCAGTCGGCGTTCGGCTCATCAACCCCATTCATCACCGACGATTGGTGGGCCAGTTTGTTATGATATTTTCGAACCGCAAACTGCGAGTTCATATTACAGACATGGTTAGAAGACAAGCGCTACTTTGAAGCGGGAAGTGTGAGTGCCAAGCGTGCGCATACTAGAGCGTGGTCAGAATCCAGTCAGATGCTCCAGATGGACCGACTGATGTGCGCCATTTGTAGCTGATGATAATACAGTCAATTTGAATTCAGGTCATTGAGGAATTCGGTGGGCGCCAACTGACGCGGTGTGAACGTTTGTGCTGGAAAGCAGTGCTCCTAAGATAAAGGTTGTGATCGGCGCACAGTTGCACGCATCGATCACCGTTGTCTGTTCGGCGTCCATCTACTCCGAAGAGGCCTCCGAGGTGCTGTTCAGAGTCTGAAAGACGACCCATTTGGGCATGCATGCCACCAGCAACAATCATTTCTGTATTGCGGCACAGTAGCTGAGGTGTTCCCCACCTCTAGCTAACGTGTATGATGAAGATGATGATGAGCAACAATCATGATGCCAGTATGCTTCGTCATGCGATGGGACCTGTTGATAAGAACTGTCTTTGATACCCTCGGAACTGCATTTAGTAGGAGCATAAACAGGGGCGATGAAAAGGCACCCTGTCTTCATACGGTGCTTATTAACCCCAATATAGGTTCGAAGTCGAACCGCAGACATGCGGTTGTTCAACGGTATCCAATCGAGCAGATTGCCTTCAGCATGTTTGCTGAGGACAATACCAATACCGTAAACAGGTTGAAACAATGACTCAGTATCGCCAGAGACGCAAAGAGTGCAGACATGGCCGCCCGATTCAGAACCAGCGAATCGAAAATTTGTCACGACGCTGTTATCTTGTATGGGTTTTTCGGAAACAGCAGACTTCAATACCAAAAGAGTGTAGAGTGAGTCAGTATTGCCTGCTGGCCGATTTGACCTAGAGTGCGAAAGTTAAAAGAACCAATGTGAAATGAAACGCTAAGTTTGATGGAAAAGCCACCTGTATCGATAGCAGCAGCTGCGAGGTCAGCAGCTCAATAGACGAGGAAGAAGAGAGGGGAGGACAGAAAAAAACAAGAAGGAATATTGTCGACGTGGTCGAGAGGGCAGATGATACTCTACGGCTGCCATTTTGAGAGGCGTTTTGTTCGTGGTGCCCTACCTATATATAACCTTTGACTCAACAGTCTGACCCATAAGGCAGTGGGGTACATGGAGGTTCGCCTGAGGGACTCCACTCGGAGCCTTTGGCTCAATAGCCTGGCCCACAAGGCAGTGGAAAGCAAGCCCAGCTCGGGAGTGTGATTACAGAGACCCACTGGAGCCTGTCACGCACAGCCTTTGAAGATTTAGTACAGTGAACCAGTGTTTTAAGACCATATTATGTTACGCACCTGCGACCACGGCCAGCCGCAGGTGGGAGTTGGCGGGTTTGGACTAATTTGACCAGGGACCGCCTGACTTCAGATGGATGGTTGCAAACCAGTGAACACCGGAAGGTGCCCTCCCACCGTCAGAGACAATGCGCGGCGCTTGTGCTCTATGCTAATCGAGCTGTAAGCTCATAACCCATAGACCTGTTGCCTCTCATGGCTAGGTTTTAAAGAAAAAAGGCCATCGACCTCACCCTAACCTCCGAAGAGGATTGGATTGTGAAAGTGAACAAGTCTGGCCCCTAACCATTGGAATGTCTGGTATTAGTGGCGCCGAAAACATTTGGAAAGTGCCATCCAGCGTAGACCAATGGGTGAGGAGGGTACGCAAATCATCGCACCATGGTAAGGTCCAGTCTCGTTGTGATGGCCGAAGCAGCATCACAGAAATTCTGCCAGTCAACATCTGGAAGGTTGAAATTCCCCATCACAAAACACCTATTTGTCGAGTGGTCACGGATGAAATCAATGAGACTCCTTGCAAAACTGTAGAGGCTTCTATAAGCCAGCACAACTTTAGGTTGTGCATGGGAGATACAAAAGTTAACCGCGAGTGCCTCGACGGAACAGTCTGTGGAACGGAATGTAGATGTTTTGAAAGTGGCTACAGTAGAGTTAACGTACAAAGCAACGCCACCTCCAGCACGAGTAGAACCGCAGTCACACCTCAGCAGAGCCCAGCCTGGTGAGCTAGCTTCACTGTCCGTGACGTCAGACAACCACGTCTCAGTGAACGCCAGTGCAGTCAAGCCCGGGGTTAGGGACAAATGAAAGTGCTCCCTCGCCAGAAACCCTGACTCAGCAGATCAGTGAGTTCCATTATGACGCCGATGCCGGCATAACATTTGTTTCTTGGTTCCACAAGTATGAAGACATGTTCCTAGTTGATTTCGCCAACCTTCCAGCGGAAAAGTAGATAGGACTAATACTGCGGAAGCTGGGTACTGCCGAACACGAGAAGCTCACCAATTTTATCTTACCTAAACTGACTACCGATTTGTCGTTCGATGAAGTGGTCGCAGTCCTGTTGCAAATATTCAGAGAGCAGACATCTTTGTTCAACATCAGGTACAAGTATTTGACAATAACAAGAAGAAGACTGGGTCGACTATTCCAGTCGTGTGAATCGCAAGTGCGAACGGTCACAACTACACAAGATGACAAGTGATCAGTTTAAATGTCTCATATACGTTTGTGGCCTACAAGCATCCAAAGACGCCGACATTCGAACACGAATACTGAACAAAATTGAGCAGAATCCGGATGTCACATTGCAGCAAGTGACCGGTGAGTGCCAACGCATGACG